ACACCTATGGACAGGGACTGCCAAGAGCCAGGTCCCTGAGTGATCGGAATCGAGAACAAGAAGGAAACTGACTTCTCATTGTGTACTTTGAGTCCTTTGATTTTCTTTTAACATGTGCATGTATTAATATTCAAAGTGATAAAGAAAACAGTAACTGTTAGCTGATAATAATAACGTGAGTGCTCATGGAGACTCTTGGCATTTTCAGGAACCCCAACACAAACTCTTCTTGAATCCTCAAAATGAAAGTAGCATCTTGCATTAACATCTAATTTTCTCTAGTTCCCCATCTATTAAACAGGTGAGGACAGCACCCCTACCTCTGGGGTGCTGGAAGATTCAGAGGGGTCTCGTCTGAAAGGAGAAGACAAAGGGGTGGGTAGCCCCTCCTTAACCGTGCCTGCTGGGCCCGCACACCCATACGCTTCCAGGGGGCTGGAAGATTCAGAGGGGTCTCGTCTGAAAGAAGACATGAGGGTAGCTCCTCCTTAACCGTGCCTGCTGGGCCCGCACACCCATACCGCCCACACCCAGCAGGATGATCAGTAAGCATCCATATGGACTTCAGGGTCGCTCACACGCTGCCCAAACCAGAACACTAAGTCTACAAATGCCAACGACCCTGGAATAGAGGCATCCATGGGCAGAAGCCCATTCACCCACTCCCCCAGGTCACCAACAACAGAAAACGGATAGCAGCAAGCACCGTTTAGAGAGGTCCGGGCATCCCACATGTCCGCACTGACCCCTTTAATGCACACGACATCCCCAGACTAAGTACTGTTATCATCCTCACTTTACAGAGGAAACCGAGGCACCAAGGGGTTAAGTCACATGCCCAGGGCTGCAGGTGGAGCCAGGCCTGGGGCCCAGGCAGGCTCATCAACAGACAACAGTGTCTACCCAGTTCCCTCCGGGAGCTGTGGAACGTGTTTATCTGCAAGGCTGCGTTATGACAGTCCCCATGCATTGCTGCAAAGGAAACCTAAGTCCTCCTCCCACCCCACACCCCCTCAATGATGCCAAGGCCAGACAGTAAGACAAACAGACCAGCATCATTTAATCCTGGAAAAGATCCGCCTTCCTCCCCCCTAAGAATCTCCCGGAAGCATTCCTGCTAAGAACGGTAAGCCATCCCCACAGAAAGGGACCTTGCGACAACCCCTTGTGAAGGAATGCAGGCCCTGAGGGGAAGGGACACTGGCACCCCAAGCTCCCTGGGGTGCCTCCCAGGCCGGGTTACTGTTAACACCACACTCAGGGCTCCCGGAGGGCAGGGGCTCCATCCCACTGCCCCACCCACTGCCTCGGTGAACTCCAGCTGCAATAGAGTGCCGGCCACATTCCTTCTGGGGAACTGTGTGAAGGGTCCCCATGGGAAAGCCGGCATCAATAACATGGTTTGAGGTGCACCAGAAACTTATTATTTCCTGCGAGCTAGTCAGCCCAGCTGCCTCCGAGTTCCTCCAGGACGAGGACCTCACAGACGTCTGCTTTTGGAGCCTCCAGGAGGCCCAGGCTAACTGGGCAGAGAAGAGACACACCAGGAAGCCACGTTCTCAGGTGCAGAGGCCTCACGGCTGGGCTCAGGGAAGCCCACTGGCTGTACAAAGTCCCTGACACTCCCCGAGCCTCAGTGTCCTCCCCCTCCATCCCTGGGCTGCTGGGCTTCGGATGAAGTGAGATAAGGAAGCTAGAAGGACCACATTAAAGTCGGCGAATATTACAGCACGGACGGGCCAAGGTTCACCCACATTTTACACCGCAATGCTCCATAAAGTCACGTGCCTTTTCACCACCCGCTGCAACACAGCTTCCGCCACGGGACACAGAAGAGTGGGAAGGCAAGAAGGCGCCGGAGGAGAGACAGAAAACACAGGAGCCAGCATTTCCAAATGGGGCACTGTGGAGATCTAAAACAAAAATCACCCAGCAATCCCAACCAACAGCTCTACCTCTTTGCTGTCCCTCTGCACTCCCTCTGGGCATGCTGAGAAAGCCACAAAGTGGGTGTGAGGAAGCAGCAAGCTGCTCCTGAGTTAGGGGGAAGAGGGTAGAAGAGAACAAACCAGGTCCCCAGGGAGAGGGGAAGAACCAGCCGAGGCACAGGAACACACAGCTTCACTAAAAACAAGCTGAGTCAAAGGCCCATCTGCTGACTTGTCAGAGGGCCCGCCTATCAAGGGGCAGCGCGGGTGGGCCCTTATGTTTACCTAAGGTGTCCCAGCAGGACCAAGCTCCAAATGCCTACTGATGCCATCCATGTGCAACGCCCCCTCGGAGAAGAGGCATTACACCTGCCAAGGGCACGACTCAGCCTTGCAAGGAAGGGTCCCCAGGACAAAATGGCAGTCTCTGGACGCCTGTGAACATAACAAGGACAGTAACTCCTCCTTACTGCCGGAGGTGCCCAAAGAGAAAGGGCTGGCTTTCTGTGTGGGCCTCAAGGTCACCAGATTGGATCCACTCTAGAAGTTAAAGGAAAGAAGAAAGTATGGAACCGGCCGCTCCCTCATGCCTGTTTCCCCATCTGTAAAACAAAGGGCTGGATGAGACGCTCTCCAACATCCCTTTCTGCTCACAGATTTTTACAAGGCCTGACGTTCAACTAAACAACCCATCCCGGTCTGCTCGGGTCAGCCTCTCCGGCGCTGACACTGCCCCAAACATTCAGAGCAGAGCCCCCAGTCATTTGCAAAGATCTCTGGACTTTTTCATTGGGAAAGTCAGAGACAATTCATCATCCATCAAAACAGGAGCGCTGGACCCCCAGATCGTGAATGTCCAAAACGCGGCACTGTCCATCCACATCACCGGTGGGACCACTAAACTCTCACCAGCACCCCCACCAAACACAACAGCAGCCAAGAACTCCGCCACCCTCTCCAGGGTGAGAGCATTTTGCACCCAGTTTAGAAATGTGGCCGCCAGGGGGCGCTGCTCTGAAAATAATAAAGGCGAGGGGGGGGTACTATTTTTAATGTTTTCTTTTCCTTCTTAAGCTTCAATGACGAAATATCTAAAGGGTAGCTAATGAAAACAAAAAGCAGCCTGAGATTCTAGAATGGCCTAGACCAGTGGTCGGCAAACTGCGGCTCGGCAAACTGCGGCTCGGGAGCCACATGCGGCTCGGGAGCCGCAGTTGGCCGACCACTGGCCTAGACACTTTCTTTCTTCTCCCCGAAGACATTATTGTGGCCGCAAGGCAACTCAACTTTAAGGGCAACACCCCTTCCAGAGAAATTAACACTCCACAATGGATTTCCCCCAGAAGGGTTGACATCATAGCTTGCCCTAAACTCCCTGTTTAAAGGCAGGGGGTCCACAGGAAGGAAAAGCCAATCTGCAAGTCTAGAAGGAGGACCTAGCCGCCGGTCTCGGCTAGAACTGTTTCATGAGAGCCTCCTAGTTACTGAGCAAAATATCCCAACCAGATGACAAGCCTCCTGGCTTAGCTACAGACAGGGGAGGACACTAATACGGCCAGACCGCAGGCAAAAGGGTGCAAGGTCTTAACTGGGATTTCCCAAGTTTTAGATGACTGCAGGGGGAGCTCCGGCACCTCACGCCAGAACGACACTTCAGGAACACATCAACAGGGCTGCTCCACATCTCTTCAGTGCCTAGAGCACATTTTGCTGTCCCACAGGTACAACGTTAACGTTCAAAGTGCCCTTTTCTAACGTTCCAGAAGTCCTCAGACCCATTCTCAAAACCCTGACTTCCAGTTCCTCCTGATTTCCTTCTGTATTCAGCATGTCCTACTGACCCTGGAAAGCCTGCTTGCTCCTGGGGAAGCGGGCCTGAAAGAGGGAAGCCAACTCCATGCCCAGACCCAGGATGCAGACCCAGGAGCTGCTTGTGCTATGTAGAGGGCGCCCCTCTGGCTGCTGGGAGAAGAGCGCCTGCAGGGCGCTGGCCTGGGGCAAAGGAGCAGCAGGCCCTTGGGACAGGCATGAGGGGCAGAGGCGCTGGGAGCCCCGCTAGCTCTGACTGGCCACTCGCTCCTCCTATCAGGAGATAAGAAATCATACTTGTTCCATTCTTCGTGATGTCTGGGCACCCAGCAGGTATGAAAATGCAAGTAGGGCCCATTTTCAAGAATCAGATCTATCAACTGGAGACGCTGCATAACAAAAGGTTTCCACCTAGAGTTTGCAAAAGGCTTGTGGAACCGAGTTATCTTATATCTTAGGCTTTCTCGGAGAACGGGATTCCACTCTCAGCTTCTCAAAGGCAAAGCTACCAACGTGCGGCGAGGTGAGGCACACCTGCCCCCAACACTGGATGTTTCTGTAAGGGACTGAGAATGCCATCTTATTAAAACACTTGGGTCTCCACCACTGAGCACCAGCATTGAGGGTTGGGGGTGGGGGGTGGGGAGAGACAAGTAGAGGAGAGCCATCCTCTACCACATGCATTTACCCAGCACCAGCCACTCCCTAGTTCTGGGACCCCCGGCCTGGTACCACGGTACCCCACCTCTCTGCGGATGGATCCCCCTTCTCAGACACGTGGCCCGGAATCACCACCCGGCCCATCCTCCAGGCTGGTGCGAGGCTCTATTAAATGAGACAGCAGATCACCGCATACGTGCCGTGCCGAGTACCACCGCCCGCTTCACATCGGCTTGTCCCGGTGGCGCGCAATGTCAGCTTCACGAGCCGCACTCGCGGGGCACATAGTAGGTGGCCCGCAAACATGCGAACACTGGGTGCCCTTCTCCACGAAGAGAAGGGAACGGAACGGCAGAAGAAAAACACTCCCGTCCAAAGTAACCTCCAGCCACGGGCGGAGCTCGGATCCCCCGATTTCCCGGGTCTCACCACCACCGTTAGCAGCGCTCCCACCGAGCCCCGGGCGGCCGGAGGCGTCCCCACCCGGGTCCCAGTGCACCTGAGAGCCCGGGTCGGTGCCGCCCCGCTCAAAAAAAAACTCCCACGGAGCCGCCGGGGCAGAGCCGGGAACCCCCGGGCGCCGGAGCCCCGCTCCCTCCTTACCTGCACAGCTCGGCGAAGGCCTGGAAATTGAGCTTCTTGATCTTCTTCTCGCTCAGCCAGTAGCCAACTCTCTTCCCCTTCAGAAAGGTCTGCATCTTCCTCCGCGGGCGGGGAGCTGGGGTC